AGGAGTTTGAATAAAGATCACAATATATTTTTATTTGTGGATACACCAGTTATTCAGCGGTACCCGTCCACAAAAATTTTGTAATTTTTGAAATTAAACGGGTTCAATTTCCTATCACCGTTAAACGCCTTGTTATCGACAAAGCCAACTATTATTCGTTTCGGTAGCTGTCCAAGTATTGCATTGTCTATCGATTCCCCCACGACATCGGCGTGAATGTTTTAACTTCGACTCTCGTAAGGGGATACTTGGCGGTAGTTTTACTCAGCATTCTAGCGTGTGCGAGTAGCACACCCGGACTTATTTTTGCTCTTCTTACGAGTAAACTGGCATTGAGAATGTATTTTTGACATCGTTCTAGTCTCCATAAGGCAAAATGAATCTTTCGAGCGTACGAGTCTCATTCTAACTTCCACGCCGTTAATTAAAAATTTATCTTGATTGAAAACGTCGCAGTGAAGGTGACCTACGAGATCTAGCGCACGATTTCCTTGAATGTATTTCGCGCGTCTCTCGAGTGCCGTATTTGGATTTGACGAGTCTAACATGTCGTCCATGTAGACGGGAATATCCGCGTCCCATAAGCAAGAGGTTAGATGAGAAGTTTTTGCGGGTGAAGCATAATTTAATAACGCCTCGATGTACGCGCGGTAAGCGTAAGCGTTGTTTGGTTGCGACACGAGTTTTTGATTGAAATACACGTCGATTTGGTTGAACATGGAATGCAGTAAATGATTTACGGGCCCTGCTTTTGCCACGTCGGTGGCTGCGACCGATGTGCTCTCCCCGCGTTCGCTTTCTACGCGTATGCGAAGGCTCAACATGGTGTGAGTGAGATCCAGATAGTCTTCTCCATGGCCGGGTATGACGAATTCTATGGGTGAGTCGTCCGTGAGCGAAGTTACGGGTTTGTAATAAATCCATTGCGAACTCTCGATGCTGGTTTGCGTAGGTGGTAAAGAGAAGAAATCGAGTTCGCTCTTTATACACTCGCTTGAGTGGGTATGAAGAAAGGACATGCTTTTTCTCCAGTCACGAATTCCTATCTCGATTAAGAGAATATGTCGGATAGGTCGCGTTTCTTGACTCGATGTTTTCTAGTGGATGGTTTTTTGATTTTTCTTCCTGCAGTGCGAATTTTCTTTTTCTTCTTCGTCACTTTTTTGCTCTTCTTCCCTGTGCTACTTCTCGATGATTTTTTTTTACTGCCCGACGTCGTTTACGAAGCGCGATACGACTATTCCGACCTCCGAATGGAAACTGAAGTGCTGCGGACTTTGCGGATACTTTATA